ATCAGACTTCGGCTCAGGTCATGATCTTGCGGTCCGTGAGTTCGAGCCCCGCATCGGGCTCTGTGCTGACAGCTCAGAGCCCGGAGCCTGTTTCAGGTTCTGTGTCTCCCTCTCTCTCTGACCCTCCCCTGCTCATGATCTCTCTCTCTCTCTGTCTCAGAAATAAATAAACGTTAAAAAAATTAAAAAAAAAAAAAGGAGCTATTACTAGACATTCTTTCATTCATTAACAAATTTATTATTTTTTTTTTAATTTTATGTTTATTTTTGAGAGAGAGACGGGGAGAGCGTGAGTGGGGGAGGGAAAGAGACAGAGGGAGACACAGAATCCGAAGCAGGCTCCGGGGTCTGAGCTGTCAGCAGAGCCTGACGTGGGGCTTGAACTCACAAACCGTGAGATCATGACCTGAGCCGAAGTCGGATGCTTAACCAACTGAGCTGCCCCTCATTAACAAATTTATTAAAAGCTACCTACTGCTTGCTGGATCCTTTCTAGATATTAGGATACAGCATGAATAAGCAGAAAAGATTTTTCCCTCTCATGGAGTTTACCTTCTAGTGGAGGAAGGTCAATAGTCAACAAGTAAACAATTCAATATATTATTTCAGATGGTGTGATGAAAAAAATAAACAGAATAATTGAGAAGAGTGTTTGGAGATATCCGGGAAGTTCATTTTGGCTGCTATGCTGAACAGATGTAGGGAAAAAGAATGCAAACAGAAAGACCCATGGGGAGCTACTGCAGCAAAATAGGATACAAGTTTGGGGCTAAATATATAGGCACAAAACAACAGTTTCCATATACATTCAGGAGGAAGAACCAAAAGACTTGCAGATAAACTGAACACTGAGGAAAAGTCAAGGTTAGAGATACTAATTTGTAAATCATAAGCATTCATGTTTACTCCCCAGCTCTCTTCCGAAATGTCCAGCAGGACATCTCAACTGTCTACTGGAATACTGACCTGAATGTCTTATTGGAATCTCCCAACTCAAATGATCTAAATCAGAATTCATTATCTTCCCACATAAAGAAGTACCTCATCCTTATTTAGAGCCTATTTCTATTACTGGTACCACCATTTGCACAAACTTAACATACTCCAGTCACTGTCCCTTCCCTTTCCCACAACCCCACCCCCGAAGTATTCAAATCCAATCTTTGAAATACCTCTGGCATTCACTTCCTTTTTTCCATCCCATGCCACTACTTTAAAAAAGCCTCAAACCGGTCTTCAATTCATGCTATACCGTTGCCCAAAGATTTTCCGATGAATTGGGCACAAACTCCTCAATCTGGCATTTGAAGCCCTCTTTTGATGCAGCTCAAATCATGTCTTAGTCTTTGAGCATATTTTCTAATGGCCTACAAATGAGCCAAACTGGCTTGTTGTACCCTTAACGTACCTCTCATATTGTCTCACCTCTGTGCCCTTCTTCCTGCTTCCTGTGAAATGTACATCCTCTATGCTCTTCACCCATCAAAAACCTACCCATCCTTCAAAGCCCAAGTTAAATGCCATCTCGTTCATTAAACTGATCTTGCTATCCTCTATGTGATCTTTTCTATGTCTAAACTCCCAGGAAAGGCTGCTGATAATTTTCTTACGGTTCTTACCACATTAAGACCTTGCATCTGAGCATTATGGACATTTGTCTAAATCTTACATCCTGTTATGCTTTATGTTCTTAGAAAGCAGAAACTATGTCATCTTTCCATTTCAAATAGAAACTGCCACAGGATCCAGCACTCTGTAAACACCCCATAAATATTTGTAAACTTTTACAAACCTCTGACAAAAGTAGCTCCTACCTGAATTAAGGTGACAAGGCACTCAAAATCTGCTTTAGGCTTTTCGTATATTGACATTTAAGCAGGCAACGTAGGCACATGAGCCTGTAAAACCAACCTCCAACTTTAAGAAAGCAATGAGCCTATTGACTAAAAGAACATAGCAGAAACTGAAAAATGTAAACCCAACTCACTTCATTTTCCTGGGCAAGTCTTAAAATCTCATCAAATGTTACAAATGTGTCATTTCCTCTGACTGCATCTTTCTCCATAAATCCCAGATGAATATCTGTTGCAACTAAGATTTTAAATGTATTTTCATCGTCACTGTATTAAAAAAGAAACATTTCAATAAGAGTATGCTCAAACCAATTAAAACCTAAATTCGTGAAATAAGAACAGTTATATAGTAAAATCGCTTTTCTAGCCTCAAAATAGGTCTGAAAATGGAAAGCATCCAATAGATCTTTAACATTACATAGTTTGCCTACCACTAATTCAAAACAGAACAAATGAATTTTAAAAAGGTTCTGTGACTCCTTCAAAAAAGTATAACCTTGTTACAACCAGTTTTATATACTTTTTACCTTGGACCTGGGAGCGTGGTTGTTTTCGAATTCTATTCCAGAGCAAAAAAACCAAGAGGATTTGACCCCATATCTAAACCCGCTGTTTATCTATTTTGTACTCATCCAGGAAAATCATACTTGACCGGTTCATTTAAAAAGCCCTTCTTTTATCCTCATAAGCTAATAAGCTTACACTGCAGTCCCAGAAGACACTTGCTTGACTCTACTCTCTATACAAAGTTAGTGTTTCATTAACAAATTTGGCCAAGTAACAAAACAGAATTATTTACAAGTCCATTTCAATTTGGTGGTATTCAAAGGTACTTTCATGTGAAGCAGCAACGTAGTAGTTATTACGGCTTTCCTAAATTTAATGTAAGTTTTAACTCTTTTTAAAAAAGTACTTAGGGATTTATGATCTCATCTCAACTTTCACATGTAAAAGGTAGGTATTTACTGTCTCTGAAAAATGAGAACACAAAACAGAGAAATTAAATGATTTATTGCACAACTAAGTGGAAGAAACAGGATTTAACCACTCAGGCTATTTTCATTAAACCACAAGGAACTTAAAAAAACTTTCACATTTATCTCCAAAATTGAAATCTTTATATATGAGATTTTTCCAGAAAACGTTTCTCTCCAGAAACTTCAAAGATGATATATACGCACAGTTTTAATTGCCACACACACAGGCTGATCAGAATATTTTCAAGATCACATTACCCTAGCAATTTATGTTACAAAATACATAGCGTTTTATGAAGTATTTTCAAATGAATTCTCTCATTTAAACATTTAAATTAATCTGAGAAAGGCAATTTTGTTCCAATTATATATATAAGATAAGGAAATTGAGGCAAGGTTCAGAGAACTGCTAATTTGCCCAAGGTCATACAGTATTAACCAAGGAACTGAAATTAGACACCAAATCTAATGCTTTTCCCACATAACTTCTGATTCTTTTATTGATTTTCATTTTACTCAGATTCATTTCCAATTGATTCAATGCTAGAGCAATTTACTGTTTAAATAGGCTTGCACTGACTAGTTAAGACTTCCTCACAAAAGCTCAAACATATTTATAGCTTCACTATTTTAAGACAAAACCTAAGAATATAAACTTATATACTAAAGTAATACACCAAATTACTGCAAGGCTTTAACCTACAGGTGAATATTATCTTTAAGTTAGTAAACATACAATAGTAATTTTTTTTTTTTAACCTTCTAAATGTTTTTTGATCGCTAACATTTCTGTTCATAGGCAAGCTCTTTATTTACTGCCAATTTATTAAATAAGTTTTCTTTTACGGCGATCATAGTTGATGGGCTTTAGAAATCCAAAGCAACAAAAAAGATTCCAGAAGACAAGTGCTTACAGGGCATCTGCAGGACTCATTTCTACCGTCAGTCTAGGTCCTCTGGAACCAGTTTTTTCTCCAAGTACTCCTGGGTCGTGTGCTCAAATAAGTCAGAGAACTCACTCGATTTCAAATCCCAATACTAAAAGCAAAATTACATTATTATAAAACGCACATTCTTTTAAAAACAGACTACCAATTTTTGGAATCTCATTTTCATCTAAGGACCTACTACATTTTTACTTAAGAACCAACAACAGAAAATGGCACATCCCCAGTGCCATTCTAATTGCACCATTATGATTAAACTATGGGAAACTAATGTCCATCAAATGAATGGGCAAAAAGGGTCGCATGCAGCAGTTTTGGTTTTTAGCACACAAACAATTCTGGGTGTGCAGAAATGTTTAAACTACATGTGCAGCCTACCCTGGAGCATGGAGGTGACCCCATACTTTCTGCTGTTTAAAGAAAAGGTCTAATTTATGAAAAGAGAAGGGCCCACCTTTAAAACGACTGTAAATAAAAAGAAACACGTGCTCCGCAGAAAAACGCCCGGCGCCTGCAAAGCAAGTGGAAATGGCCAAAATATTCGGGCAAGAGTGTATGCCACCGTGAAACCACCCCTCCCACGTCCGGCCTCCTGGTTCGGTCGAGATCCCAAGCCTCAACACACACACACCACCGGACTCTGAAACCAGAACCAGAACCTTCCAGGACTTAGCCGACCCGTCCCATTCTTTTCCAGAGTCAATCCACTCAGGGCTTCCTCCCCGGATCCCACAGAAATAGGCAGTACGTTTCCCAAATTATCCCACACCCTCACTCTCCCAAAGCCTCAACGGGCCCCCAGCGTGTCTTTTACCCGGGAAGAAGGAGCGAGCTTCCCGAAGAGAAAGGCAACAGCAACTCACGAGCGTCGGTCTCAGAACCCGCGGGGCCACTTACCTGAATTAGGCGGGAGAGAAAAAGCAGCTCTTTCTCTCGCGATACCTCACTGATGACGTAGCGCTCAGGTCTTCTCCGGCTCTCATTGGCTACCAAATGCCGTGAGGAGCCGGGAAAGTAGCGGCGAGGCCCCGCCCTCATGCGAGAGCCAATCCAGAGAAGCTGAGGGACGACCCCGGAAGCGAGGTTCGCGGCGGCGATTTTCCCTTCTTTAAGGTGGGTAGCTCTTGCTTGTCCCGGCCCGCGCTCCTTGGTCCCCTCGCGCCACCTAAAAACTAGTGGGCCCTTAGGGGCGGGTCACCTGTCGACCCCTGCTGAGCCCTGCTGAACGGGCTGCGTCGTGGGTCCTGGATAGGGCTGGAGCGGCTTCTCCACTCTTGGCTGTTTGGAAGGCCGCAGGCGCGACTCCGGGCCTGTGAAATGACCAATCGGTGCCAGAGGGCTTCTCCCTCACTCCCACTCCCCAGAGTTAGAGCATTCGGGCCCTTGTATTTATTCCCCGCATCCTTTATTTTCGCCTCTGGACCCTGGGTTCAGCACATCTGTACTACTTTGTGCTCGTAGCAGTAAAATATAGTGTGTGTGTGTGTGTGTGTGTGTGTGTGTGTGTATATAAAGTGAAACTTTTGAATTAGAAAATCCGACCTTTCAGTGCCATTAAAGGGTCCTTAGTCTAGGGCAGGTTGTTTTAATCTACCCGAAACTCAGCGCCTTCACCTGTAAAATGGGGTTTATGATACCATCTGTCACTTGAGTTTTTTGTAAGGAGTTGACATGGTTTAGATCTCTGTCGAAATGTGTTCTTTTAAGAAACATGGGGTATGTTTCTTCCTGGTGGAATGTCGTCAAGTAAGAATCTTAATCGATTTTTTGACTCTAGGTTTGACTCTTAATCTACCTAAAATTTAAAAAATACATTTTACACGTAACTTATTCTGTCTGAAGCAGTAAATTCAGAATTTACTTTAAAAAGGGGAGAGGGAGTTTTTATAGAAAGGAAAGGGGAGGATAAAATATGTGCTTTATTGTTTCTATATTTTCTACAATTAAATGAACTTTATATTATTTCTCGGTATCTATTAAGTGTTTAATGAATTGATGTATGGTCATTTTTGTGTTGCAAGGTTCAAAGAACAGTTTGAGAGGAAAGAAAAAGATGAGAACTCCGATGGGAGTTCCTAAATACAAAGTTCATAAATACAGAACAAACTGGTGGTTACCAGAGGGGAGAGGGGAAGGGAGATAGACAAAATAGGTGAAAGGTTTGGGAGGTACAAACTACCAGTTATAGAAAAAATAAGTCAGAAATGAAAAGTACAGCATAGAGAATATAGTCAAGGAATATAGTGAGGAGTATAATCAATAAGTGAATATAGTCAGTAATAAAGGATACTGTGGTGAGCATTGAATAATGTATAGAGTTGTCGAATCACTGTGTCGTACACCTGAAGCTAATATAGCATTGTGTATCAACAATAGGTCAATAATAAAAAGTGAAAATTCCAAGAGAAGTTGCAAAACACAAAGCAGTTCTGATGGGGCCTCCCAATAGACTGAAAAGCTGGGCAGGACTTGGAAATCCTTTAGTACAGTCATTACATTTTACAATGAAGTAACAGGACAAGAGAAGTTATTAGTTATGAGTAATAGATTGAAACTTGAATTTAGTACTCTTGGCTCTAGTAATAAAATCTAATGCCACATAAGGATTGAATACTATTTAACTGGTGAAATTAGAAAGAAATTAGTATCTTAAGGGTATGACTAACTCAGGAACTTCTCTCAATCCCTTCTGCATTCCACACAAAATCAAGTGATAGGGCTTTAATTAAATTTAATTCTACAAATATTTCTTAATGCCCTCTGTATAAGTAGGGCATAGAGATAAGTTAAATACAGACCCTATCCTTAAGCTTATTAACTTCTGAGGGACTAAAACAAGAACAGATTAGTGCTGAAACAAGGCAATATGTAGCACAGAAAAAGCTACCAGAGAGAGATCTCATTTCGAGGTTCAGGAAAGACTTAATGAAAGAGATAACATCTGAGAAGAGCCTTGATAGGCTGATTTCAGCAAATATAATTGGGAGGCAGAGACATGGTATTTTAAAGATATTTATTAGTTAGTCACATTTTTAAAAATTGGCTAAGATTTAATAAGCTGTGTAACTCTTTAAGCTGATACTGGTTTATAAGTTAATATGGCAGGCTAGCTGAATAAATGTTACTTCCTTCAAGAAGCCTTCTCTAATCCTGTAGGACTGGGTTAATTATAACCCTCTTGTATACTCATTGTATTTGGACAAGGTCCTGTTATAGCACAGATCGTGCTGTTCTTAACTGGTCATTCCCACTAGACAATAAGCTTCATGAGGTTAAGACATGGGTCTTGTTCATTGTTGAATCCCAATATCCAGAGACTGGCACATACCAGGCATTGTATTCATATTTGTTGAATGGAGTGAGTGACAGCCAAAATTCAGTTCAAAACAAGAAGCCAACTGAGAACTATAGTTGTCTATCAATGAATGGGACTCCTTTTTAAAGCAGTGAATTTTCCCAAGCCTGAAATTACCAAAGTAGAAACAGGATAATTATTATAGACGTTACAATAAAGATACCTGCATTGACGAGAGATTTGAACAGATGCCCTTGAGGCTATTCCATCTTTAAGAATGCCTAAGTCTTTGAAGTAGTTTATTAGAAATTAAAAGTTTTTGTTTGTGCTTTGCATCATTTGTCTAGTCTATAAAAATCATGAACGTGCCTTTCTTTTAAATTATAATTTAGAAGCTTTAAGCATTTATCACTCAGTATAGTACAATAGTATCTAAACCAATAGATTCGGAAAAATATAACCATGGACTTAAAAAATAAGAAGTTTTAGACCATTGAAGATACAGATAACTGAAATCTCATTTCCAGCATTTAGAGAATGTAAAGTACCAATAAATCCAAAAAGTTCAGACAGGGTTTATTGTATGTGTTTGCAAAACTTATCTATGCTATTGATAAACACTCAGTTACTGTTTTTCTAATAATTTTTATGTTTGTGTTTCCAGATCTTGATGGATAAAATAAAGCAGACATAATTCATCACTAGAAAGATTAATTATACGCTGGCATTTGAAATGCTTTGTATTTAGAATAACAGTAAAAATGGAAAAAGGGAAAGTAAATGATGATGGGAAACCAGATACAGAAAATTCCTTGGACTTTTCTGAACACTTTAACCAACTTGAATTGTTGGAAACGCATGGACACCTTATTCCCACTGGTACCCAAAGTCTCTGGGTAGGGAATTCTGACGAAGATGAGGAGCAAGATGAAAAAACTGAAGAGTGGTATCAATTGCAAGAAAAAAAAATGGAAAAAGATCCAAGCAAATTGCTTCTTTGGGCTGCTGAAAGAAATCGGGTAAAAAAACCAAAAAACCAAAACAAAAAACAGTTAAAGAGGAAATCATAATATAGTAGGAAAAGTATTGGATTTGGAGCCAGAAGACCTATCCCTGAACCTCTATTTGGTTTGTAACTTTGGCAAATCCCACCATTTCTGAACCTCTATTTTCTTACCTGTAAAAGTGGCCATCATAATACCTGTATCTTTTATATAGGATTTTGAGGAGCATATGAGGAAATGTACATGAAAGTACATAGTAAGCCAGAAAGCATCCTATTCAGTATTATTTGGAAGTTTAAGGGGTAATTATAAAGATGGCAAGAAGTCACCTATATTTTTAAATCATTTCTATTAAGTCATTAAGATCATCCTAGAGACAACTACGGTTTAGAAAAGGGAGGATGGGAATTAACATGTTTTGAATACTAAATATACCATGTGCTTTTACTACATTATTTGATTTAATCCTCCTATATCCCTGCAAGATAATAATATTCCCTTTTACAGTTTAAGAAATGAGTTTCAGGAATACTCATTTGCCCAGTATTATCCAATCTATTCTTCCCACTCATCCACTTCTACCACATTTCACTAAGTTCCTCCATGTCTGTTAGTAAACTAACCAAAAAGGTCTTGTATTTTTGGATAACTTTTTAACCCAAGAGCACACTGCATCCCACCAGAGATCCAAAGACCAAGCTGAAAATCGCTTCCTGAAAATACATTTCTAAGGTTGTTTTAGTTTGAGCTCTTTAATCTCTAGATTTCTTGTAGCATTGTCTTCTGATAAAGAAGTTTATTTTTTAAAGTTTACGCACTGTGTATATTGGTGTGGTAATCCTGTCGAAGAATCAATCAATTATTATGTTTTCTTAACTAATGAAATATAAAGGATTAAACCCAATAGCCTGTATTATTCATCTAGGACTAAAGCTTTTACACAATGAGCCTTAATTGGACCAGGAGTAAATGTATGTTTTGATATTCAGAGAATCACATTCTTAGACGCAAGAGCCTGGCTAACACTAACTGTTCATTCTTAAAAATCTGTTGTCCCCAAAAGAAATGTTAAATCATTTTTATTTTAAAGTCATCTGCTGACAAGGAAGTTTATGTTGAACTTCATCAAATCTAACACCACGAGATAGCTTAATTTTCTCCATTGACTGTTCTGGGTTTTTTAAGATGTCTTTTCCTCCTCAGCTTACTACGGTGCGGAGACTACTTTCTGAAAAGTCCACTCACGTGAACACTAGAGATGAAGATGAGTATACCCCTCTTCATCGAGCAGCCTACAGTGGACACTTAGATGTTGTGCGTGAGCTGATCGCACAAGGGGCAGATGTCCACGCGGTGACTGTGGATGGCTGGACACCCCTGCACAGTGCTTGTAAGTGGAATAATACCAGAGTAGCTTCTTTCTTACTCCAGCATGACGCAGATATTAACGCCCAAACAAAAGGCCTCTTGACCCCCTTACATCTTGCTGCCGGGAACAGAGACAGCAAAGATACCCTAGAACTCCTCCTGATGAACCGCTACATCAAACCAGGTCTGAAAAACAACTTGGAAGAGACCGCATTTGATATCGCCCGGAGGACAAGCGTCTATCACTACCTCTTTGAAATTGTGGAAGGCTGCACAAATTCTTCACCTCAGTCATAACGGTTCTAATAATTTTCCAAGTACCAGTGCCTCCTTTGTGTGAGATATGAAATATCCCCATGATACAGAATTGACATCAAAAAGTTTCACTGCAGACATTCAGTGGTACACATTCGAACACCCTTCCGAGTGAAAATGCCTACCGTTGATGTCAAAATGTGTTTGAAAGTTGTTTGGATGTATCTTTACTGATTTATGTGGAGTTTGTAATTTTTATCAGAAATAATTTTAACTTCTACTTAAAAACTTGTAACGGGTTGTACAGAAAACTAATGGTATTTTTGGTGCTGATCCAAGAGAAGTGTATTTTTAAATACCCCCCCCCCCGATCTTTGTTGAGTATTTAGTATATTGACATGTATTTTTATAAGGTGAGCTAACTCAGAATTTAAAAATCTTAAATATACTGGTGCAGGTCAGCTGTCTTCTCGACATCACCATAGCCATTTGCTTTCATTTTAAATCATAAGAACTGACTTAGCAGTGACTTGAATCGTCAGAAGTTTAAAAAAAAAAACAACAAACAAAGCAGGAGAAAAGCTTAGATCTTCGTCTTTTAGAGCATAGACCATTTTCAGGAAAATAGTTAGCTAAGTGTTTAGTCCATGAATGTTATATATACTGCCTCCGCTACCACAGCTCACACAATCCTGTGGACAGTCCTACCTCACCCTGGTCAACCTACACGATCCTTATTCCATTGGTGAGTCAGCATGACCTTTCAGACATGCACACAACTCTACCTTGGTCCAAGAGATCATAATATATCTGCTCTCCAACTGGTTTTACCTGCCTAATCCTGCTGTTTGGGGCACTGCTCAGATGGTCTCTCCAGTTCACAGGAAGTATTGATTTTCCAAGGCCCTCCTTTTATACAAGCCCTACAAAGGCAAAGAGACAAGGGACAAAGAATTCTAAGAGTAAAGGGATGATGATTATATTGGGGCTAGAACCACAAAGTGGCTAAGGGTTTAAAAAGCCACAGCATGGATAGCGACAAAAGATAAATATAAATATTCAGAAAAAAAATAAAAATTTTGAGCAACAAAAATGGCACCATTTCTTTTTCTTTTTTTTTAACCAGTGTATCTCTTGGCTTGGATCCATAAAATATTTATTCACCCAGCATACATTTATTTAATAACTATTCTCTCAGTCTTTCCAGCTGGAGCTTCTCGTTGGCTACCTAGCCCCTCTGTGACTGTTCCCAAAGGGTTTTCTCTTCACTTAACACCAGAACTGGCACGCTACGGGAAGGAAACTAAACCAATGGGGCCACAGTTATATATTCACTGAGGTTTCACAGTGCTCACAGTGAAATTTGTTGGCTTTGCTTTTATAAATCTTAAATATGCTTCTCTAGGGAGCTTTCTGACCCACAACCTGCCACAGTGAGGGGATTTAGAGTCTTTACACTATGGATGTAAAAGCATTCAGTTATTTCTATTCGTTGGCATCTATTATAACAAAAATCAAAACACCTCCATTTCTTGAAAAACCCCCGTTTTCAAAGGTTCCTTTCAGATGTGAGAGGTCTCCAACAAAAGGAAAAAACACAAGGAATAAGAAAAGAAAAGAAAAAAAAACAGATTTGAGCAAAGACTGAAAGGAAATGAGATTCTGAGAGAAAATGTGTTATCAGAGTGTATCCAAGGGCTAAGAAGTTTAGAGTGACTTTTTTTCATTCTGTGTACAGCTTCTTGATGCCTGTCAAATGAGTCAATCTTTAAATTCAAACCTAGTTTTCCCCCCGTTTCAGGATGGGTCTTATTCATGTTGAGCAAACGGAATAAAAACACAAAAACACCCATATTTGGTTCATAATCAATTATCCAATCAGCACTCGGGTACATCTAATACTCGCCATTATTAATTTAATGACATGGTGCCGTCTGCCAGTGGGTCTCAGAGTAGCAGGATTTGTAGGATAGAAAATCTGCTTAATTAAATAAATAGAAAATCTGTGTGCAAACGACTACCTAACTTGCTTTTTTTCCCCCATTCTTTTTCTACCATATGTTCAGCCTCTCATTTCTACTAGACGTACAGTTGTTTAAAAATGAGGAAGACATCATTGGAGAGTTAATGTGAGTTGATAAGGAGCACTGTCTCCTGAGCAGTCACTGGAGTTCTGTTTTTAGACACAGCTGCCTTAAACGGCGGCAGTTCTTAGGAATCAACAAAACATAAAGAAACCAAGAAAATGAGCCTGTCCTCCTTTAAAAAAGCAGGTGCCTATAAGGTTTTCTCAAATCTCAATTTAGTAACTCATGAAGATAAACGTATCCTGATTGAAGGGACCAACTCTAAGACCAAGATATTGTATTGAGACCTGATACAAAAATCAGATCCTTCAGAGCACATACACAAATAAAAGCACTAGGGTTCAGATTTGCTTTTATGTGCTTTGGCATATTTTTAATTTGAAAATAGGCAAAGCTTATCAAACAAATCAAAAGGGAGAAAAGGTATTAGGGTCTTCATCCATTCTTTTGATTTTATTCTGCACCCTTGGACAATGAGGGGGCTTGGGGGTCCATCTAGAAAGGTAACTATATGTCAGTGTTCCTCACACTATTGACATTGGGCCCAAATAATTCTTTGCTGGGGGGAGGGCATCCTGTGAATTGTAGGATGTCAGGCAGTATTCTTGGCCTTGACTTAGTAGATTTCAGTGGTACCTCCCTCTCCCTCCTCCCAGTTGTGACCAATGGAAACGTGTCCAGACATTGCCAAATGTTCCTTGCTGTACGTCATCAAAAATCTCTAAGGCAGAAGATTTCATAATTTGGCTCACCTCAAAATTGTTTTATTAGCACACAATTGAATTTTACTTTGGTGTACATGTTTTCTTTATACTGTAAACATTCATCAGTATACATTCAGAAATTAGATACTCATTGATTTTATTTTAAATTTTTAGTATCTTATCAATGAGATTATTTGAACACATTCAAATATTGGGATAAAACGTACAGTAAGATACAGAACACACTCTTCGATACTGAGTATCATTTGTAAGAACGGCCCACATCCAACTCCCAGCTTTGGCTTCTAAGAAACACTCCATAGTTCAGATGAGTCTATTTTAAGGAAATTCTAACTTCTGGGTATTAATGAATATAATAATCAAATCCTGATTTTTGATAGGTTGCACCATTACAACTGTAAATTTTTTATTGCATTGCCGAACAAAATGCTATTGGTTGATACACTTATAGAAGGGATAAGAGAAGGCAACACGTTCTGTCAGAATATGAGGAGGGAGCTACCAGCTTCCAAGTGTAAACACCTGGAGAAATAGCAGATAATCTCTTAATGTCATTACAGATCTAAAATTTTTGCTTAGGGCACCTGCGTGGCTCAGTCAGTTCAACGTCCGACTTCAGATCGGGTCATGATCTCAGTGTTCATGGGTTTGAGTCTCACATCAGACTCTGGGCTGACAGCTCATAGCCTACAGCCTGTTTTGGATTCTGTGTCTCCCTCTCTCTCTGCCCCTCATCTGCTCATGCTCTGTCTCTCTCTCTCTCTCTCAAAAATAAACATTGAAAAAAAATTTTTTAAATAAAATAAAAATTGTGTTTGTTACTTAAATTTAAAAATAATATGGTATAGTTTTTGGCAATTCCTGTCATCTTAAAAATTAATTCCAAGATGAAATATATCAAAATCAATGTAAAAGATTGGGCGCCTGGGTGGCGCAGTCGGTTAAGCGTCCGACTTCAGCCAGGTCACGATCTTGCGGTTCGTGAGTTAGAGCCCCGCGTCAGGCTCTGGGCTGATGGCTCAGAGCCTGGAGCCTGTTTCCGATTCTGTGTCTTCCTCTCTCTCTGCCCCTCCCCCGTTCATGCTCTGTCTCCCTCTGTCCCAAAAATAAACGTTGAAAAAAAAACAATCAATGTAAAAGAAACCCCACATCTGATCATCACCCTTCCCCAATCATCTTTTATGTAATGCACAAGTGAAATGGTCTCATCTGGTCTTGTTTATAAAAGTTCTTGCATGTCCAAGATGTGATACACTAGACCATTGTGATAATATTAATAGCTAATATGCTGTATGTAGATGCTCATTAACTTTATGTCATAAGTTCCATGATAACCTTTTGAGATGGATGCCATTGTACAAGAGAAGAAATTGGGCTTAAGGAGGTTAAGTAAATCATCCATTGTCATGAACTACATTTTCACAAAGCTCACATTCAAATACAGTTTTAATGTGGTCCTTGAACGTTAATATCCATGTACCACTAATTTGTCTATCAAATAATCATAACAAAAATTCCATTTTATTTAAAATTATTTTACGAGCTTATTTATGGTAGCGTTTGGGGACACAAAAATTACCCTTATTAGGAGCAAATGGCATTTTATGTCATAGAACATAAATAAACAAATGTTCCTAAATCATAAGAACCAAAGCAATTTAAAAAAAATTTTTTAACGTTTATTTATTTTTGAGACAGAGAGAGACAGAGCATGAACAGGGGAGGGGCAGAGAGAGAGGGAGACACAGAATCTGAAACAGGCTCCAGGCTCTGAGCTGTCAGCACAGAGCCCGACGCGGGGCTCGAACTCCACGGACCGCGAGATCATGACCTGAGCCGAAGTCGGACGCTTAACCGATCGAGCCACCCAGGCGCCCCCAAAGCAATTTTTTAAAAGAACAACAGATTAATACAATCTATGAAATGGCAACATCAAGACTGTGATATTGAATAGACATGTAAATCAATAGAACAAAAGAGAATCTAGAAACAGATCCAGATATAAATGGTCAATTGATTTTTTACAAAGGTGTCAAGGATTCCAGTGGAAAATTCTCTTAAAGAAATAGTGCTGGAGTGCCTAGGTGGCTCAGTTGGTTAAGCATCCAACTTTGGTTCAGGTCATGATCTCACGGTTCGTGGGCTCGAGCCCTACATTGGGCTCTGTGCAGACAGCTCAGAGCCTGGAGCGTGCTTCAAATTCTGTGTCTCCCTCTCTCTCTGCCCCTCCCCTGCTCACGCTCTGTCTCTGTCTCTGTCTCCGTTTCTCTCTCTCAAAAATAAACATTAGAAAAAAATAAAGAAAGAAAGAAAGAAAGAGAAAGAAAGAAAGAAAGAAAGAGCTTTGTGGAGCACCTGGTAGCTCAGTTGGAAAAGCACTGGAGACTCTTGATCTCCAGGTTGTGAGTTCGAGCCCCATGTTGTATGTAGAGATTATTTAAAGTTTTTTTTTTTTTTTTTAAAGAGAAAAAGGAAATGAAATAGTGCTGTGTTCCAATTGAATATCCATTTGGGGAAAAAATTAACACATTTAGGGACAGCAGAACAGTGGTTGCCTGGCAACAGAGACAGAAGTTGGACTGCAAAAGGGCAGGAAGAATCTTTTGCAGGAGATAGAAATATTCTATGTCTTAGTTGTGTGGTAGTCTTGCAGATGTGTACAACTGCCCACGTTGTATTAAGTCGTATTCTTTAAATGGAGTGTAGGTTTTCATAGGTAGGAGTTATACTTCAATAATGTTGATTTTTAAAAGTAGGTATCTGGAGATGACTAGTTTCATCCCTTCATTATTTTCCATAGCAAGCAGGGACCTATTAGGACCTCTTCACTGAATTCTAGGGGTACATCTTTCTGGGGGCTGCAGAGTCCTGTGACTTATTAAAAAAAAAAAGATTTCACCAATTCACTGGTATTTTAAAATCCCGAGCAAAAAGCCCTTTATAACAGGAAGGAAAGTTTCCTCCATTAAGTGTTAGAGTAGGAAACAAAATAATTCCCTTAAATTATTAGTCCATTTGATAGCATTCAACAAATTTGAAAAAAAAAATGTCTTAGTACCAAAGAAGGACTTTGTTGGCTTTTTAAATAATTTAGATCAGGACTGTTAGAATCTAGAATAGGAAACCAAATGGTTTTAGCATCTACTTGTCTAAAGAAAAAGCAATAGTATTAAACTCCATTGCTTTATTCAATTGCCCTGTTTACTAAGGAGAAGACTGTGGTGACTTCTGGACATGTTTAATCTGTAAAATGAAACACAGAATGTGGAACTTAATCCATC